ATTGTTTTATTTTTTTTAATTGTTTTATTATTCTTATACACACAGGAGAAAGGAGACAGCAGCAGAAAGGGAGTTCTGTTGTGCTGCTGCATCGAGTTGTTGGGGTGTATGTGCATGCGTTGTGTGTTGTGTTTTTTCTTTTTTCTTTCTGTCTTTGTCTCTTTTTATAATTATCTTTTGCTTTTGTTTCTCCTCCCATCAGTGTGCAGAAAGGAGACAAACAGCAGAGCTGCCTATACACCTGGTGTGTGTGTGTGTGGGGTGTCTGGTTGCTGCCCCTTTCTGTCTCTCTTTCTTCCAGTTTATAAAACTTCTTTGCTGCTGCTTCTTTCTCTCAATACTATATAAAGATTGTTTAGTGTATTACACACTTTTTTTCCTGCAGCACACAGCAGCAGCAGCAGCAGCAACAGCAGCAGCAGCAGCAGCAGCAGCACCATCATTGCTGCTGTGTCTCGATTGGTGTGTTGTGGGTAGAGGGACATCTGTCTTCTTGTCTTTGTCTTTTCGTTTTTTTATTTTTTTATTTTTTTTTATTTTTATTTATTTTTATCGAAGATGAAATACTCTATCTTCTTTTTTCTTTTCTCTTTGAGTTGCTCAGTCTCCTGCTGCAGCAGCAGCAGCAGCAGCAGCAGCAGCAGCAGCAGAAGCAGGGGTATAGACAGCCCCCCCTCTGTCTCCGCAGCAGCAGATAAAAAAGGAGAAAGAGGAGACAGCAGCGAGCAGCACGAGGAGACAACAACATTCTCCTCCTCCTCGACAGCAGCAGCAGCAGCAGGAGCAGCAGCAGCAGCAACACCAGCAGCAGCAGCAGCAGCAGCAGCAGCAGAAAAGAAAAAGATTACACCTATAGTTGAACTCGTGATGGCTACTATAGGGGCGCTGCAGCGCACGGCCCCAGACTTCCTTCACAAGCTGCAGCAGCTGCTGGGGGAGGAGACAGAGGAGACAGAGGAGATTGCTGCTGTTGCTGCTGCAGCAGCAGCAGCAACTGCTGCTGCTGCTACAGAAGAAGAAAAGGAAGAAGCTTTTGCTTATCTCTTCGCCAGCGACACCAAGTGGACCCCCTGGTGGGATCGGCAGCTGCAGCAGCTGCAGCAGATACAGCTGCAGCAGCAGCAGCAGCAGCTGCAGCAGCGAGCTCATGTTGCAGCAGCAGCTGCTGCTGCCTCTGTTTGTCTTCGTTCCTTGGGGGCA